CGGCCACTGCCCTCCAGTCTGGGCGACCGAGTGAGACTCCAACTCAAAAAAAAAAAGAAAAGAAAAAACGCAGACTGTGCTACTTCCAAAATAGATGTGAACAAGCTGAAAGGACAACCTAGAAGAGAGTTGGAAATCATAAGACGGAGCTGGTGAGACATCAAAAGGCAGAAAGGCAAGCCCATGCAAAGCGGGCCACTGGAAACCTGCAGGAAAACAGAGTCACGGAAGTAACTCGTTCCAGCCGCCCACAGAGGGCCGGCACTTCACAGGCCCTGGGCTCCCTCTGCTCAGCCCGCCCATGCCCTCTCTTGTAGCACCCCTTCCTCAGAGCTACTGCTGGGAGGTGAGTGCACAAAGACCTGGTCTCCACGAGCCACCCCACTCCCCTCCCACTCATGAGGGGCAAGCACTTTCCCCACACGGTGCCAACAACGCTTCCAGAAATTGCTACCAAGAAAGGTAAGTTCATTACCAAATCACTTATAAAAGAAAGCAAATTCGCCGGGCTCAGTGGCTCAGCCTGTAATCCCGCGCCTTTGGGAGGCTGAGGTGAGTGGATTGCCTGAGCCCGCGGGTTCGAGACCCGCCTGGGCAGCGAGACCTCATCTCTACAATAAATCAAAAAATCAGCCGGGCGTGGTAGCGCGTGCCTGTAATTCCGGCTACTCCGAAGGCTGAGGTGGAAGAGCCCAGCAGGTCGAGGCTGCGGTGGCCGGGAGCAGCCACTGCACTCCAGTCTGGGCGATGGAGTGAGACTCCAACTCAAAAAAAAAAAAGAAAGCAAATTCAAGGCCGCTCAAAACTAGCCAAGTCAGAATAAAGTTTCTACGCCCTGACAGGAATATTGGGGGGGGGACCCAGAATAGAGTTTCTAGGCACTGAAGGTGAAGCGATGGGAAAACCAGGCGGCAACACGCCCTTCTTTTCCTCCCAGGCCCTGTCCCTGCTTTTCTTGTTTCGAGTCTCTGTCCTGTTTTCACTCACTCTGCTGATAAATCAATGGCGCTGAGTGGCTGGAGCAGACGCTGCTGGGAGCAGCTCTTGGAACAACACTTAGAGAAACTACTAATAAAACTAAAATAAAATAAACAAGTAAAACCCATTAACGATGAGGTCCCAAATGCAGCAGAGGGGGCAGGCCAGGTTCTGCCGCCGGCACTAATGCACAATTTGTCCCTCAAGGCCAAGACCTCATCTACGGACAGATTCTTTTTAGTCAGCTTGTTGTTTGGAGATGAGAAGAGTTACCTTGGAGTTCAGCGCACACTTGAGCGGCGTCTCCTTCAGCCTGTTCTGGACCTCGGTGGAGGCTCCATTTTGCAGCAGGGTCTCTATGATGCCCTGGTAGCCCCAGCGTGCCGCTATGTGGAGCGGGGTGTCTCCTTTCTCGTTGCCAATATCTAGCCTGCACGACTGCACATCGTAGTAGACCAATGCCTTCACACACTGCAAGGAAATCGGGAAACAGCCCCGTCAACTGACATGCACACCTCGGGCCCTGTCTGTGCCCCCTTAGCTTGGCTCAACCAAGGCTCCACTCACCTTGAGTGGTTGCAAATGAGCAGCAACCAACAGTCAGAACTCAAGGAGCCACAGTACCTGATCAGGATACCTCGTGCTTTCACAAGAGCGCAACTGCCGATCAATGAGAAACGGTGGCTGACACTGTGATGACCCCACAGACTGAACACCCAGTTCTCCCAGCAGGCCTGAAACCGCTGTCCCTTGAAAGGCCTGCTTGCAAGACTGACTCCTGGCCTGCGGTGTTCCATGGACACTTGAATTTGGGGTGTGTTCCACGGTTCCCTAACTGATAAGGCAGCTCATGGGGCCCAAACTGTTTTGTAACACAACGTGGCTTATGCTGAACACCTGCTTTCCTTCTGGGAGTACGGAATGTTGGAGCATGCTTGGCAGACAGCGTTTACGTGACCGGCCTTCAATAAAAATCTTGGACACTGAGTCCCTAATGAGCTTCCCTGGTAGACAGCAATTCATGAGTGTGGTTCTGCCTCCTTGCTGGAAAAACGGAGCCCGTCCTGGGTGACTCCATGGAGAGAGGACTGTCTACAGGTGAACCCTGGGTTCTTCTGGACTTCAGTCATGTGCCTTTCCCCGGGCTGATCTTGCTGGGTCCTTTTACTCAACAAACCACAGCTGTGAACACAACTCCAGGCTGAGATCCGTGAGTCCTCCCAGCAAATCCCTGAGCCAGGGGGATGGTCTTGGCGACCTCTGACACAATACACACGAAAGGTCATCGTGCAGCTGTTGAAGAGCAGGCGAGACTGATGTCGCCTGACCTACAGGATTTCCATCCCGTGGTGCCGAGTAGGAAAGGAGCTTGCCTAAGAATGCCAGAGTGCGGCCCTGTTTTGCACATCAACTGCCTCACCCAGTCTAAACTCTGCATATGTGTGAATCCATTTGTATATGACTACGGAGGAGGGGAAAGGGAAAGTGGGCAGGAAAAAGGAACACATTCATAATAAAAGAGTGAAAACGGAAACTCCAGAACTCCGTGACGTTACTAAAAAGTGGGAAAGGCAAAAATTGAGTATGTGCCAAGGCAAGAACCAGATGGCAGCAGGGATGAACGAAGGTGGCTTCATCCCAAAAAGTCAGTGTGCAGTTAGGGTTTAGATTCCTGTCGCTTCATACAGTAGCATCTCTAATACATTATAAAGTCCTTTAAGTTAAAAAAAGTTACACACCCACGTTCCGATAATTACTGGCACGAAATACAACACGGAACGAATTCAAGATTCACATTTCCTCACGAGCAAGAAGGGGGCGAGCAGCCCCCGGGAATGGCGGGAGCCACTTACGTCCTCGTGGCCACGGGCGCAGGCCAGGTGGAGGGCGGTGTTGCCGTTGTTGTCTTGCACCTCGGCACTGGCCTTGTAGTGCAGCAGCAGCAGCTGCCAAGGGAGGAGACCGCCGTGAGCGTGGCGCAGCCGGCCGTGGGCTCGGCTTCTGCGGGGGGCCCAGCCTGGAGTCTTGGGAGCGGGAGGTCTTCTGTTCTCATCTTAAAGCTGATTCATTTACACGACTATTAAAGGGACACCTGCACTCCCTCCTTCCCGACCGAAGGGAAAACCCTACAGCCCCACCCTTACTCTCCCAGGATGATCAGCAAGTTTCCAATTTCATCCTAACGATGCTGTCTAGAGGCCCCAGGAAGGCGTGGACTCCCGGCCCTCACTGTGCTCCGGCAGTGAGGTGGCAGGGGACAAGGGAGGCACGACATTGGGAGGTGGGGCACAGCACAGCCAGCGTGGCGGCAGGGTCGACGTGCAGGGCCCAGCTTGGCGGAGCACCCGCAGCACCCCATGACGGCCGCCGGACTCACCGTCACACTCTGATAGCCCTTCTGACATGCCAGGTGAAGCGGAGTGGACCCGTGATAGTCCGTGGCATTCACCACGGCGCCCTTGGACACCAGGAGGTCGATGAGAGATGCCTGCCCTACAGAAGAGAAGAACTTCACAATGGAGGAGGGAGGACAGGTTCCCAGGCCCCAACCGTGAAATGACAACACTCTTTGACCCACGAAGTCTCTGCATGAAACATGCGAGATGCTTTTTCTGCTTGACAGGAATCAGCTAACATCAAGTCAGGCTCAGACTGTGCTGAGGCGGGCCTTGGAGGGGACCAAGCTGAAGTGCACCTCGAGCAACAAAAGGTAATGAGAGAGAGCTTCAGACACCCACAGAAGAGTCCATGTTGTCAATTCATATGATGAAATACTGTGCAGTCATTTAAAAACCGCTGATAGGAATAAATGTTCATATGTATTGCCAAGTGAAAACCAGCATAGTTCAGAACATGAGTCCCACAATATCATGTATTTTTTTCTTTTTGAGTTAGAGTCCCACTCTGTCACCCAGGCTAGAGTGCAATGGCATGCTCATGGCCATTGCAGCCTCGACCTGCTGGGCTCAGGTGATCCTTCCACTTCAGCCTTCTAAGTAGCTGGAACTACAGGTATACGCCACAATGCCCAGCTAACTTTTTGATTTACTGTAGAGATGAGGTCTCGCCAAGCTGCCCAGGCTGGTCTCGAACCTATGAGCTCAGGCACTCCTCTCACCTCACCCTCCCAAAGTGCTGGGATTATAGGCGTGAGTCACCGTGTGAGACGAGAGGATTGCCTGAGTCCAAGGGTTCGAGACCAGCATGGGCAACTTGACGAGCTCTCATATCTACAATAAAACAAAAAATTAGCTTGGCATGGTGGCTCACGCCTGTAGTTCCAGCTACTTGGAAGGCTGAGATAGAAGGATCACCTGAGACCAACAGGTCGAGACTGCAGTGGCCATGCGCGTGCCACTGCAATCCAGTCTGGGCGACAGAGTGAGACTCCAACTTAAAAAAAGAAAAGCCGGGCTCGGTGGCTCAGCCTGTAATCCCGCACCTTTGGGAAGCTGAGGTGAGTGGATTGCCTGAGCCCGTGGGTTCGAGACCCGCCTGGGCAACTTGGTGAGACCTCATCTCCACAATAAATTTCTAAAAAAATGAGCCGGGCATGGTAGCGCGCGCCTGTAGTTCCAGTTACTTGGAAGGCTGAGGCGGAAGGATCGCCGGAGCCCAGCAGGTCGAGGCTGCGGTGGCCGGGAGCGGCCACTGCCCTCCAGTCTGGGCAACTGAGTGAGACTCCAACTCAAAAAGAAAAAAGAAAAAAAAATATGTATTTTAAACATACATTCACACAAGTATTCTAGACACTCCTAAATCAGTTATCCCTGGGAGGTGGGACGGTGGCTGGTGACTCCAGAGGAGTGTGTGTTTTCTACCTTTTATGTGCACTTTAAAAGGCATTAAAATTATTTTTTAAAGGCAGTGCTACAAGATTGACCCGGAGCTGTCAATCATGAAACCCTTCACATAGTTTGGCCTCACGCCCACTGGCCCGGAGACAGCGACAGGCAGTGAAAACCACACACAAGGGCTCTTCTAGCCCAGGAGGCAGCAGGCTGGACACCAAGGCCTGAGGAACAGCTGCGTCTCTTCTCTTTCCAGGCCTTAGTGGGCGAGTCCATGATGCAGCCCCTCCACCACCCGTTAGTCAGGCCTCCACTGAGCCACCCTGGGCACCATCCCTTTGCCTGATAGCCCGCAGAAGCCCGTCAAAGACCACATACCACAGAGAGCAGCCACGTGGAGAGGTGTGTGACCCCTGTCATCTCTGGAAAACGGAGTGACAACTGAGGGGTCATTCAGTCTCCTAAAATGGAAGAGTCAGAAAAACAGGCCATGGGAATGACATGGAGCCTCTCCTTGACCAGGGTGGACATGCGGGTGGCCTGGGATTAGAAGACTCACGGGATGCGATACAAGATGTGTGTCTTCTGCACCATCCAGGGACCTCCCAGGGCCTGCTCAGTCTCCTGCGGTGCGAGGAGCTGAGGCCTCCAGCCAGTGTCTCCCCCACCAACCCTTCAGGCCTCAGCTCCCACCAAGGCAGCCCAACGAGGATAACGGGAAACCAGACGTGTTACTGGGAGAACCTGACATTCCTCCCACTGTCAAACTCGCTTTCTGAGGCGGGGGCAGGCCCTATTCCAGCCTGTCCTGGCATCCAGTCCACCGGTGGGCCAGGAGTTTTGCAACCTGTATCCTAACAGATTCTCCACAGAGGCAGATGCTAGCGTCTCCACTGTACAGCAGAGGTAGCCGAGGCGTGGTGAGGACAGGTCCTTATTCACAATCGCATGGCAAAACAGGTGGGAAAGTTCCAGCAGGCCTCATGTCTCCTGCTCCCTGGCACACTGAGCCTTCACGAGCACCCTCTTACCCAGAGACGAGTTTCTCACAGTCATCACAGAAGCACAGGGGGTGACACATCTTTTGGACGGCATCTTTATCATGGTCTTCTTGGCTCAGAAGTCTTTCCACTTCTTTCTGGTTACCTGAGGCAATGTGCTAAAAAGTGACACGCAAAATACTATCAATGCTGAGGAGTGATTTTGTTTGGTTTGGTTTTTTGAGTTGGAGTCTCACTCCGTCACCCAGGCTGGAGAGCAGTGGCATGCTCATGGCCACCCCAGCATCGACCTCTGGGCTCAGGGGATCCTTCCGCCTCACCCTTCCAAGTAGCCAGAACTACAGACACATGCCACCACACCCGGCTAATTTTTTGGATATTTTGTAGAGACAAGGTCTCACCAAGTTGCCTAGGCTGATCTCAAACCTCTAGGCTCAGGCAATCCTCTCGTCTCCACCTCCAAAAGGGCTGGGATTACAGACCTGAACCACCATGCCCGTCTGAGAAGTTGGTTTTCACGGGGTGAATTTTGGAGGAGTCCTTACAGAAATGCATATCTATGCATCGATGGATGAAATGATTTGCTCTCTCATTAGAAGGGAATGATTTCCTTCCAAATAACCTGGGCAGTGGGGATGGCAGTAAGGTGAGGTAGAGATAAAACAAGATTGGCGATGGCTACATGGAGCTTTGCTCTCTTTCTCTCCATCAATGTGAAAAATCTCCCATAATTCAAAAAACAACAACATGGCAAAATTCCCAAAGCAAAAAGACTGGGGTGGAGGGAATACACCTCTGAACGTCAGTGTAGAGTTTGACACCTCAGTTGTATTCCTCTTGTCTTTGTTGTTTTTGTGTGTTTGTTTGTTTGTTTGTTTTCAGCGAATCCCCACAGGGTGATAAGTAATAGTTTTGTTCTTTTTTAAGAGAGACAGCCTCATTATGTTGCCCAGGCTGGTCTTGAACTCCTGGGCTCAAGCGATCCTCCCACCTCAGCCTCTTGAGTAGTGGGGGCTACAGGCATGCACCACCACACCTGGCCACCTCCTGTATTCTAACAGAGCCTCAGCTTGGGGGAAAGAGAACAGCTGCACTTAGCAGGAGACCCCCATCAACAAACAAACCCACAGGGCTCACCCCTGGGATTTCTGGACATGCTCCCTCCATGGGACACACTTGGACTCCAGGTAGCCTGGGAGAAACCGCAGGCTGCCCGAGGAAGTACACCCCCACCCAGCCCCCACTGACTGCCCAGCAGGTACCTCAGCAGCCTGCCTGTGGTCAGTCAGCGTCTGAGTGGGGAGCCACCCCCATGCACCCGGTGACAAAACCGCCAGCAGCCAGGCACTGTGTTCCCAGCCCAGTGTATACACTCCACCCACCCAGCATCTGCAGTTAGAGGTTCCTCAAGCCCAGGAGAGGCACAGGCTCTGCAGAGGCTACCAGTGGAGGCACTACGGAGTTGGCCTTGAAGAACAAGTCATGTTTCAACCAACCGAGAAATGCCCAGCTCCTGCAGTGTGCCATCAGCATGGCTACAGCACAGCACCTTTTGGGGAAGACAAGCTGGTTCCCAATGTCAAGCCTCAGCACGCCTACTGCCCACTCTGACGGAACCCTCAGTGGATTTCACAGAGCCGCTGAGAGACGGAGACTTCCCCACACGCCTTTGCCCACAGAGACGTCTGGATGTCTCACCTTGAATAGGCAGTCAGTGGGAGTTGAGGTCATCTGAGACAGTAAGCTCATTCTCTGCTTAAGGAACAGCCTGTCACCGAATCCCTCAGACTCCTGCAGGGAAAAACAAACAACCTGTTTCATCACACATCATGAGGTGTCGGTGCATATCCTTCAAAGCAGAGGGCTCTGGCAATGACCCTGGCGGCTTCTCCCAAAGCAGGACCAGCAGCCCTGCTCATGGAGACAGAGAACAGGCAAACTCTAGCGGGCAGAACAAGCGGTCGCTCTGATAACTCTTCCCTGGTAGGGACCGGGGGTCCTGGCGGCACGCACGCCGGCTACGCGTGTGTGCAGAGCATGTTGTCTCCCGTGTGGACTCTGGACTGTCCTGGTCTCCTTCCCTTCTCAAGCCTCTGACGCCTGCCCAGCCCCAGCCCCTGCCATTCCAGGAAAACCATTGGACAGGTTGGTCTCTATTTCTCTCTGTCAACCGGCAGCAGAGAGGGGTTCTTGCTTTTGGAACATACCAATGAAAACAATAGGCTGTGAGGCCAAAGTCCAGTAAGACACCGGGGAAACCCTGACCCAGAGATTCTTTGCCCCTGCATCTCTGTAGGGGCTTACAGAATTCATCCTAATTCCACATCTTTAAAATAAAAGGAAAAATGAAAAAGAATTCACCCTAGTTAATAAATTCAGACACTCAGCGTGTAATCCCATGCCTTGGAAGGCCGAGGTGAGTGGATTGCCTGAACCCGTGGGTTCGAGACCCGCCTGGGCAACTTGGTGAGACCTCATCTCTACAATAAATCAAAAATTAGCCGGGCATGGTAGCGCGCGCCTGTAGTTCCGGCTACTTGGAAGGCGGAGGCGGAAGGATCGCCGGAGCCCAGCAGGTCCAGGCTGCGGCAGCCGAGAGCAGCCACTGCCCTCCAGCCTGGGCGATGGAGTGAGACTCCAACTCAAAAAATATAAATAAATAAATAAATAAATAAATAAATAAATAAATAAATAAATTCAGACTTCATATTGTAGGTAATGTTTACCTAGATACAAAAATCTAGATATGTATCCTTGCTTTATGAAATAATTCCTATAAGACATTTGAATGCTCACTTGAGCACCTGCAACTAAACTGTCTAATGGCAAATGAACTTCCTGAAAAAGAGTCTTGGTGAGAGGTAAAGTGAATTCTTTTCCAGCCAGCTGCTGCCAGAAAAACTCCCCCAACTCTGACAAATTTGTGGGACAAGGCTGTCTCTTAGATGCGTGCTGCCATCTAAGTTTTGACTCAGAGATGAAGCCAACATCACCTCCGGAGAGAGGCCTTTCCGGGGTCCTCTGTCAAGCAGGGTCCAGATGTCCCCCTCAGGAAGGACATCTTAGCGAATGAACAACCAATACCTCAGAATGGAGCCATAATTTGCTCCCAGCTGCTATATGCTATATAAAGCTGTAACAATCTGCTTTACACAGTGATTTACAGCTGAGCAGCTTAGGGTTAGGGAAACATCAAAGACACTGTGGTTGAGGTAAATACAGGGCTCTGCCCTCAATTCGGGGTGACAATGTGGCGGGTAGTGATGACGAGAGGTAGATCTTCTAGGACTGACTCTTCAGAATGACCTATCAGAAGGAAGAGGACATGAGCAAAGAAAAGAGGTACACACCATTTATAAGAAATCCAATGGAGCTAGGAAGACCAGAAGCACGCAAAACTGTAGCAGGGAAGCACACAGATGCCTTCAAAGGTCTCCCCTGCTTTTCTCATACTCAAAGGTAAGACTAGAGCCATCCCAGTAACAGTTATTTTCAGAAAGCTGAAGTCTTCATTGATGAACATGCCTAAGGAACGTTTATGGTCACCTCAAGTACGATTATATCTTGGGGAGAAAATTTCCGTGAAACTACACTGAACAAATTCAGTAGTAAAATCTAATTTGATGTACTAATAGTTAATGCTTTTCAGAAATCTCGCCTGCTGTATGGAGATACACTGTTTTTTTGTTTTTGTTTCGTTCCCTAAGAAACACCATCAACACACAGCAATGGCTTCACACATTCCGAAATGGAACGTCATTAGTTAAAAGAAACCAGTCAGCAGCTAAAGGCAGAGGCAACAAGACAGAATGGCAACGCTGGTGTCACAAAAGACACCAGGCACAATACCTGCTCTGTCAATAACAGGTCAAACTAAACACAGGCGAGGAGCATCTCGCAGGCCTGACTCACTCAACACAAAGGGACAGGCTTCACAGCAAGCCATAAGGGTAATGCATACCCGGTCCCAACATCTAACGGAACCAACCACCCTCCATGCAGGAAGGCAGGACACCCCAGACAAGAGGGGTGCACTGGGCTGTGTCCCCTCCCTTGCCTATCTAAGCTGAATGCCATCCTTAGGGGCATCCCTACAGGATACACAAGAGAGCCAAGAAGCAGGGACGCCAGAGGGGCAAGCAAGGACACTAGTGTCACTTGGAGCTTCGAAAAGGTACTTTCAAACATCACATATGAGTCTCACAACAACCCATTAAGGTTTAAAATATGCGGCATTAGCTGGGTGCAGTGGCCATTGCCTATAATCCCAGCACTTTGGGAGGCCGAAGTGACAAGACTGCCTGAGCCTGTGAGTTTGAGACCAGCCTGGAGAATTTGGCGAGACTTTATCTCTACAATAATTAGCCAGGCATGGTGGCGTGTGCCTGTAGTTCCAGCTACTTGGAAGGCTGAGGCGGAATGGTTCACCTGAGTCCAGCAGGTCGAGGCTGCAGTGGCCGTTAATGTGCCACTGCGCTCCAGCCTGGGTGACAGAATGAGACTTTGACTCAAAAAAAAAAAAAAAAAAAGTATAAATCTTAAAAAAAAAAAAAAAGGCAGTATTATCCCCAGTGCAGACAGTAAAATGGACAGAGAGACAAAGAGATTTGCCCAAGGTCAAACAAAGCATAAGACTCAAACCAACACCAGCACAAGAGGGGCCACCACTCAAATGCTACCCCAATTCACCTGCAATATTTTCTAAAGTAAAAGTTGAGGTGAGAAGCTGACTGACAACATGTGGTCAACCATCTCCTTACAATCTGGCCAAAGGACTTCAAGTGTTGACCTTCTGTCACAGAAAGAAAGTGGGATGGCCACATTACGGGAACAGCAAGAAGACCAAAGCAGCTTCAAGAGGGACATCTCCCTCCAGGTGACAAAGGACACCCCTGGCCCCATCAAGGAGCATCAGGCTGATGCCTGGGCAGGGTGGTGAAGCTAGGAAGGAAGTGGCCTCTCAGACCAATCAGAGGGAAGAACCAGAGGGGCAGGGCCATCACAGAAAACCACTCCAGACACCATGAGAACCACACATGCTGCTAGAGCCTCAAAGGAAACAATTCCAGCAAAGAACTCTTACTTCCCAGCTATGGAGATGACAGAAATTCGGATTCTGCTCACAAGGAGGTAGAGGGACAAGTACGCGTGTGCACGCTCACACACATTCTAGAACGCTAGTGATTTCCCTCCAAATATAGAAACACAACAAGGCAGAAGAAAACAACTTTTCAGAAGGGCCACAGGCACCCATGTCTGAGGCCGGCCGGACATGACTGGAGAATCAAATCAGACCCCAGACAACAACAGAAGTTAACTCTTCCTCGATCACCCATAATTCTGTCAGGCCCTGTACCAACAAGTACAGCATGGCCTCAACTTTTGTTAAAAATACAATTCTATATTCACAGAAAGATAGATACCAAAATATTAATAAAAATCATCCCTGACTAGTAAGTTTATAACAGGCTTTTGTTGTCTTCACTGCAATTTTACATATTGCAAATATTATTTCTAAGCAAATACTAGTCTTCTAACGAGGAAAAAATAAGGCTAATCTTTGGGGGACAAAACAGTACACGATATAATTCCAGTACGTAAAATATACATGGATAGGAAAAAGAGGAGAAAATATATAAGCATGTTGATAATGAGCCCAGTGGGACCGCCGGCATCTGAGAGCACCTGCCTGGACAGGCCGTGTTACCTTCTGGATGGGCCGTGTTAACTTATCATTGCTTGGGAGATTGCAACATCAGGATCTAAGATGAAATGAATGTTCAATCCTCAGGACATAGCTTGTAATACAGAAATCTCTTCTTTTTTTTTTTTGAGTTGGAGTCTCACTCTGTCACCCAGACTGGAGTGCAGTGGCCGCTCCCGGTCACTGCAGCCTCGACCTGCTGGGCTCCGATAATCCTTCCGCCTCAGCCTTCCAAGTTGGAACTACAGGCGCGCATTACCATGCCCAGCTAATTTTTTTTTTTTATTGTAGAGATGAGGTCTCACCAAGTTGCCCAGGCGGATCGTGAACCTGTGGGCTCAGGCAATCCACTCACCTCGGCCTCCCAAAGTGCGGGATTACGGGCTCAGCCACCGAGCCCGGCTTTCAATTTTTCTTTTTCTTTTTTTTTTTTGAGCTGGAGTCTCACTCTGTTGCCCAGACTGGAGTGCAGTGGCCGCTCCCGGCCACCGCAGCCTCGACCCGCTGGGCTCCAGCGATCCTTCTGCCTCAGCCTTCTGAGTAGCCGCTCACAAGTAGGTAGAGGGACAAGTACGCATGTGCTACCACGCCCGACTGATTTTTTGATTGCTTGTAGAGATGAGGTCTCGCCAAGTTGCCCAGGCAGGTCTCGAACCCGCGGGCTCAGGCCATCCACTCGCCTCGGCCTCCCAAGGCGCGGGATTACAGGCTGAGCCACCGAGCCCGGCTATCTCTTCCTTTTTATTGATTTCAACTTTGTGATTTCTGGGAGCACCAAACCATTTTACGAATTGGTATGTGGTGAAACAGGCCAGCCATCTGGCCTTGGCTCATGATTCCACAACCCTCCCAGGAGTGTAACTGCCTTTCCCAGTCCAAAGTCACCAAGCAACCAAGGAAACAATGGTAAGGTCATTGAGTTCTAAAACCGCACACATTAATAGCCTCGTTTTTTTCCCCTATCAAGGTCAAGAAATCCAGCTTCACCAGTCTGGCTTGCTTTTGTACCAGCATACTTTTGAAGATGACAGGAGTGCATGAAGTAGGATGCTGAAAACATGAACCCCAATGATACCACCTGTCAACTTTCTCCATCAGTTGGGTGCTTGGTGTTGTTTGCCAAGTGGTTTCCAAGACTCACAGCCCTCCAGCAGCAGAGCCTCCATCCTTGGGAGATACCAACCCCAGAGCCCTACCAAGGGTACCATGATCTCCACAAAGAATGGCCAGGACAGGAGTGAGATCTTACGGGTGGTTTCACAGAGAGGTTTCCTTGCCGAATATATTCAATTGCAGCTTCAACTGAGGTCAGGCAGTATCCCAGTTCATCTTTTGCTGAGCTGCTAAATCTGAAGTTTTTTATATAACTCAAATTTGCCATCCTAACAAAAGGAAAAACAAGTTTTACCATTGTATACTCAACACTTTCTGCGAAAACAAGGCTATTGGCTTGGGAGACTGATGAAATGCCTAAAGGGAGTTGGTTAGATCGGGGAGCTACCGCTTCTGTCCCCTTAAGCTCTCTGTAAAGTATGTGCAATTAGGAAACAAAACTACTTGCTGCTTCCCTTTGCAGCGGGAAGAAGACGGAAAGGATGAGAGGCAGCTTCCTGCTCAGCCACTGACTCGCTGCATATTCCAGAATAAGAAATGCAAGCTCCCAGGGCCTCAGTTTCCCCGTCTGTACATGGAAGAACAGCCAAATCCACCAGGACGAAGGGAGAGGAGCAAAACACCTGGCTCCTAAGAGGGCTGTGATCACAGGTGGCTTTTCCTATAGGTACACGAAAACCGCCGTGTAGCGCTGCCATTTTTAAAGTGCATCTTAGCAAAGAACATTACCAGTTAGGGATCTCTGTTTTCACGAGCAAATACAACAGGACTGAAAGCAGGTCATCAGCACACATGGTCTCCAAGTTAACTGCAAGGGGGAAACACATGTTCAAAGCCATGATGAGACTCTAAACACACGGACAAGGGTATCAGCTCCCTACAGCCATGCAGCCCACAAAACCACCATTCCAGTAAGATCATACAACAGGGAGAAAAGTAACTGCACTCTTTCCTATACACTGTTCTGAATAGAAGTCAGATTCAGGGGGTAAAAGAATGCTCAGTGTTGTTTTCAGAACATGGGGAAAAGACAGTAACTCCAGACTGCGCCTTGCTAGCCTCCTGGAGGGTGAAAAAGTACCAGAAAGCAGTGGCAGTAGACACAAAATAAAGAGTACCCAGAGCCATCACCAAAAGTTCTTTCATAGGCCAGGTGTGGTGGTTCACACCTATAATCCCAGCACTTTGGGAGGCTGTGTGAGAGGATTGCCTGAGCCCACGGGTTCGAGACCAGCCTGGGCAGCTTGGCGAGACCTCATCTCTACAATAAATTTTAAAAAAAGCAGGGCTCGGTGGCTCAGCCTGTAATCCCGTGCTTTTGGGAGGCTGAGGTGAGTGGATGGCCTGAGCCTGCGGGTTCGAGACCTGCCTGGGCAG